TGTATAGTAGTAGAGTGCCGCACAGTGATACCGTACCAATGCACATGCGCACACACATTTACACACACACTCACATGGTGTCCTGACTGTAAAACAACAAACATTGAAAATGAAAAATATGAAGAAATACCAACAACAACATGATAGCAATCATACCTTCCATACAACCACATCACACTTATGATTTGTAAACGTTTACTACAAAGAATACTTAGCGAATGTAACTAAAAAACAAGATTAGAAAACTATTAAATAAATCTACAGCGGAAAGATATCAACTACATCTCTCAGCCTATGAAGACTGAAAAAAACACACAGACAAGCAGAGAACGGATGTGTGGTTCTGCGTCTTACCTTGTCCCAGAAAAAGAGATAGGACTGACTAAACTCAAACTCCTCTATGTTAAATTTCTTCATGAAGGGAAGTCGCATGACGTTGAGGCACGAGAAGATCCAACATCTCCCTAGTGGCAAAGAGAAGACAAAGACGGACAGAGATATGCAGGTCAGTGAGGACTTGACATGTGTTGTACAGGCAAACAGGTATGCTAATTGTACTCTACATTTAATTAACAAGTCTCAAACACACAGGCATCTTTATATATAACTTCTAATCCTTAACGGCTAGAGTCACCTGGTCATTAGATTACTTCACAGGACAACTGGATGTGCCTGACACAGAATGTTTGGAGCTGGTTTAATAATTACTGCATGTTCACTGTGTAATCTTTTTGAGGACGCTAACAAAGGCATGTTGATGTCAACCAAAGCTTGGTAGGTTGCTGTAGGATATCTGGAGAAAGTTTCATGTCTCTGTAGGTTTTTTTTTTAGGGATGCACTGAAATGAAAATTTGTGGCCAAAGCCGAAGCCGAATAATATTAAACGTTTGGCCGAATACCGAGTACCGAATGCTGTTGTTTAGTTTTTCATTAGTTTTTGCAGATGAACCCCCTCCAGATTAGTGTTGTCACGGTACCAAAATTGGGACCCACGGTACGATACCAATGAAAGTATCATGGTTCTGAGTAGTATCAGGATACCACAGCAAAAATGAGGCAGATGTGCCTTTTGTCATTTATAAAAAGATAAATCACTTTTCTATAATACATCAATGATATTCCAATGGAATAAATTACTTATTGACTTATTCATACTTCAAAAACTGCATCAATAAGTGATTAACATAGGGGGGATCAAAATAAAATAAATAAATAAAATAAGAATCAACCAGCCACCCTCCTCACCTGACAGTCCCTTCATAAGTAAAGAACAGTCTCTAAAGTGCGGCGAGGTTTGTGGACCGTTACTGCCACAAAGAGTAATGTGATACGCCACATACTGTGTGCCGCCATGGCTCGGCTGTTCAGGTACTACTGGGCAGTCATGACAACAAGTTATTCACCTGGAGCCGGACTTCTCTGTCGCCAGTAAGCCGTTATCATGTGCCGCCATATTTGACAGGAATACGTTCCTGTCTGTGTCTGTGAACCCCGTTCAACCCACAACTGGCGGGATTCACCGTTTCGTTTCTGCTGCTGGTTGAAATCTGTACTCACACAGTGTGCTGAATGATTTATTTTGCCCCCACAAAACTATTTTTAGTCGCAAATGCGAGTGCGGTGACGGACGGAGTAAAAAAAATATCGCCACACTGCCGACATTTTACTCCGTCAGTCACCGTACGCTGTTTGATTGCGTTATCAAAACACGCCGCTATTATTCGGCCTTGCTTTTCACTTATTCCACCGAATACTGAATGTGTGTTTTTTTGCAATATTCGGCCGAATATATTCGGTTACCGAATATTCGGAGCATCCCTAGTTTTTTTCATATCACGTTGAACTAAACTGATGGCTATCTAAGGGGATACATTTATTTTTCAGTCCAAAAACCTATGGTTGGCTTTATAATGCCGTGGGCATGGGCTGTCTGCTGGATGCTCCAAGTGCATGCAACTCTAGACTTTTTTTTTTACTGTGATTTTACTGTGAGCTGCAGACAATAATGCAAACTGGAGAACAATTGGTGCTTTTAAAAAGGAAATTAATAATCCAGCTGGCAACTGATTTGAATAACCAAATTTAAGGAACTTCAAACATCATGCAAATACAGTGCACACTCCAAACAAAACTGAACTTTATCAAAAGTTAGAGCATGCTTATCCATCATTTGTGATAGATAATTGCAGTCAAAAAATATATTATAAAATATATATATAACTTAAGGATATCTTTGCTGCTTGTCCTCCAGTCATTAAAATGAACACATGCTGTGACACAGGGGTGTGAACATGTCTACATGTCAATTCTGAGCTGTTTGCTTCAGAAATTTCTTCACTGACCAATGTGCACCGAGTAATATCTGTTTGGGCTCTCTAATGTTGCAGTGAGAGCAGATATGCAAGTTCACCAAACTGCAGTTCACACCTGTATGTGATGAACCAAGAGCTAGGACATTCACCTACACCCACATATGGACACATTTCTTTGTATTGTAAAAGATACACGTATAATCAATAATGTTGCTACACCCTGTTACCTGAGTTTTTCTGGTTGGTAATGGGCTTGCCCTCTGTGGGAATAGAGTGCTGGAAGATGTGCACAGTATCCTGGACAGTCTGCCGGTGCAGACAAACCTCCAATGGGTCAATGCAGGTTGACACATTCTGGGCCAACAGGTAGCGTGGCTCGGCCCGCAGCCGCTTCTGGAAGGTGGCTACCTTCTCCTGACTCAGACCTGGGGGAGGTAGAGGAGGGAGGATGAAGGGAAAAATAAAGAACAGGAAGAGTTAATGACAGAATGAATGCTCAAATAATGAAGGTGGGAAGACAAGCACAAATAAAGCTAACATGTAACAGGAAGCCTTTCAAAGCTAGATAGTCCGACAGCTGACTATAACTACAAAGAGGAATTTCTTACTGTCCCAATTCCCATGACTCATTGGTGCACTTTAGCCATACACACTTCCTCTTTAGATCTGATTTATGAGCACTCATGTACTCAGATGTCACAATAATGCCTGGAAAATACCAGATCAATAGTCATGAACTAACAGCACATCATTTATTGAATACTACAAGAGTCTAGGACATCACTTTTTCTACCATCCATAGACTATAGTGAAAAGTCATCTATTGAAGATACTGAGCACAATCATGATTAAAGCTCTGGTGAAGAACGAAGGACAGGCTTGACATAGGGCAAAAGACAAGACAAAGACAAACAAGGAAGTAATCAAGAATGCTTTTTAGCAGCTCTATAAGTGGCTTCACTCATGTGGCTCCATCTGTGAGAGGAACACACTGGAAAGCTTATCTCGTCCCGCTGGATGGGGGAAGGACAGGTGCGCACACACTCTGACAGAACAAACCGCCACTGGTGTGTGGTTTGTAATTCCGTCAAATAATAGTGCAGAGCAATTAAACATTGAAAGGGACATTGCCTAGTCATGCATGCTGCCTAGAGTTCGACCCCTCTCTCTCAGCTGCATTCTGTTATTTTCCATCGACACAAATGCAGTGACCGCCGCAGATTAGGACAGTGTCAAACTTCATTAACTGTCATGCCCATACCATCAGAAAACACAGAACCAGGCCTAAGGCAGAGAATATTTTGAGAGACCTGCATGGGATCCCGTGTCAACATGTCTTTTTGCTTACGGCGCAACAGTTGAATTTTTTGACACTGATGACTATGGATAGATAACAAAGGGGGAATAGTAAGAGATGAATTTTCAATCTGTAACACAGTATTAGCCTACAGCTTCAACCTGACAGCAGTTATCACAAGCACAGTGTAGGAGAAGTGTGTTTAAGAACAGATATTTGAAAGCCTAGTTGGTTGCTCTCGCTGTTATTCAACAAGTGAAGGCATGAATACTTAGAACATACATCACAGTGGGTTTTCTATGGAGAGCGGGATAGCACAGGCAGCCAGGGTGACTAGCAAATTTACACACCGGTGGTTACACAACTGGCTTTATATTAGCTAAGCATTTTATTATGCCCATCACTGCTTCATGTGCAGAGGGCTGAACTGCAGCTGGCATGAAGCCTAACAGTGGAGGCTCCACAGCTCACAAAACCACAGTCCAAAGATGAGAGTAATAAAAGAATAAAATATCAAAATCCATTCTTAAATTCACACTTTTTTAAATATAGGAAAATAAAATGGCTTTAGCAGAGAGTAATTGGTTAACACAGGTCTCCAAATAACCATCTGACCAAAGCCAAAACATTTGCCTGCTTGAAAAAGAAGTGTTATGAAACCTGAGGATAAGTTGGTGAGTGAAATGGAAACAATCAAACTCACCTAACTTGTTTGACTAAAGGTTAACTCAAACCAGTAGTCGAAGTTATAACCTGTAAACAGAATGGTGAAATAAAGGTGTAGCTGATCTCTCTTCTTGTCCTTCTCCACAATGAATCGCTGCCACTTTAAAGACTTTGACAGCTTCTGGTATTTCCAACTCAATTCTCCACTAGCTAGCTACAGATGATAACATTTCCGGCTCCTGTGGCTGACACCAGCTTTAAACTACCGTGTGAAGCTGTTTAAGAGGTCTGTGTCTCCAGTTTGGATGTCGGTGCCTTGCTGACAGTGTATCGGCATGAACTGACAAACCTAGATGAGTAAACGACGGCAAAGTCATGCTAGCGGGCTCGCATGCTAACGCAATGAATGCTAAGTTAGCCTGTTAGCTCCCTCAGCTGTTATCCTCTAGCTGTCAAATTACAGGCTGCCAGCAGCACAAACCGCCGTGACTGAAACAGGATGAAAAGACACTCGACCTACCAGTTTCCATGTTTCGGAGGAGCTTGAGGAGCGTTGTCTGTTTTCCTGAAAAGTCACCGGCTCTTTGTTTATCTCATTCACCGACAGCTAGTCAGTGTGATTACGGGGTGCGCTCGTTTTTGGACTCGCGGTCGGTCTTTGACGTGGCGGGTGGGCGGAGTTCGGGCGGTGGGACAGATGACAAAATGAAAATCCACAACAAATTAATTTAAAAAAATATTGTTATTACACTAGAGAACTCTGGAAACATTAATTGCTTCTTATTCCATTGTTTAATTATTTATTACAATTTAAAAAAACATTTATTTTATATATATAGGCCTATATTTATTTATTTTTTAAAATTGCAAAATAAAAAATGAAGAGACTTGAAACCAAAACATTATAGCAATAAGTTCTTACCCGGCAAAATCCCAGGACAATACAAAATAAATAAGACAGTGTCAGTCAGGCCTTACACAGCCATAAATTCTTACACCTAAAACATTTGAAGGGGAACTATGCCAATTTTCAAAATCCATACATGTTATTCCTTTGGTCTAAGACAGTCCAAAAATATTAGTAAATGTAAACAACACTAGAGTACTAAAACTCAAATTTGTGATGTTATATGGTCTAAAGCCTGGCGGTGCTCCATAAACAATAAATTGGGGAAGATAATAATAGTAAATTTATTTGTATAGCACAGTTCATACAGCAAGTGCAACTCAAAGTGCATTACATAATAAAATGATAGTATAAGACAGAGTAAATCAAATTCGATCACACACTCACACACACTCATGCACATAAAACGTGTGAATTAGGTTTGATACCAATTAATTAACTAAAATGAAAGTAAAAAAAAAAAAAAAAACGATAAGTTTTAAGATTTCGTTTTTTCGTTTGAAGCTGTCTACTGAATCACAGAGTCTAACATCCTCTGGAAGACTGTTCCAGAAATGAGAGTCAGTGACACAGACCTCTAGGGGACATTTAGCAGACCAGACGCGAAGCATCTTACAGATCTGGAGTGACTATATATATGACCAACATATCAGATTAAGAGTCAGGGGCCAGTCCAAGATGTTAGAGATGACACTGAGAGCAGCCAGCCAAATGTTTTATTCTGTGTCAGACCTGATAAAACTACAAGAAAAAAGCTAATTTGAGCAAGAAAATAAATAATAGAAACATTCTGCATGTCCACAAAATCTGTTTTGATGCCATCATAAGTTTGAAACTGAAACTACTTCTCTGCTTCCTGTCTTTGACAAAGAGTAGCTCATGTTCACAGGCCATGGAAATATTATATTGGAATTCTTCATTTAGGTGGTGTTCCCCCTGTAACACAGCTTTGAAAGAAAAACATCGCTCACAACAAGATTGTCACCTGGTACTTGCTTTGGCAGACTGTAAGTTTATACCTGCTACGACTCTGCACCTCAGATGTAATGTAATAACCTACTGGTGGAGAGGGGGCCAGGAAATTGTGAGAGCTCCATGGTTGTGGTTTCCTTGTTTGGAACTAATGTCACAGCCAATGTTAGTCCCTAAGTAAGGAAAGAGCTGTTCAACACAGTCGGCTAATAGCTAAAATTACACAACAGGAAAGGGAAAGAATAGTATTATAGTAGTAGTAGTGGTAGTAGTAGGTTACATTAGGAAGGAATGCAAATGTGTTGTTTTTGGTTTTACAAACTGTATAAGAGCAGACAGATCCTTTTAGTTAATTAATCTTTCTTTTAGCCCATAAACCAAAGTTTAACATGGGTAAAAATATTATAATTTTAAATGATTTTAATAAAGTTTTCACTCAATTTTTTGGTGACCATTTTAAGCCTCTCTACATCTCTCTCCTGCTGCAAGTAACCTAAATTTAACCCCTGACACACCGTCATCTGATTAATGCTGCCTCACATAAAAAAAAGAGAACTTTCCAGCCGTCATATTTTTGCATTATTATCCAGAAGGCACCACTCCTCTCGCTTCCTCTGTTATTCCCACACATCACGTGAGTGGGAGCGCGCGGCGCAAAGTTAAACGAGCGCGCTCAAAGTCAAATGTAACAAAACAACTGCGCATCAAACATCCGGTTGTGTTTACAAAATAAAACAACGCTTTGCAAGTGTTGGTAAGTTGCATAGATCTACTCCACTGACTCCATGTCATCACTGACATTGACAGTACACGAGAGGGGGATCTCTGTCAATTATGTACACGAGGAATGATGACAGCAACCAAAACCTGGTGACAAACATGTTCTTTAATATGTTTTTTTCTTAGAGATGAACAGCTTTTACTTTGAAAGTTAATTTTCTGCTGAAAACCAGGTTGCTGTTGCTGGGAATGCACAGGGTGTAAAAGTCAAAGCATGTACCTGTGCTGACACACTTGTAAACCTTGGCTCATTAAACCTGTCTCTGTGTGCTGAGCCAAAAGACAGTCATCAGTGCAACAACTCAGTAGCTATAAAGAGTTATTCAGTCACTATGCTGTTACATTTCTAACCAACTACACACTACATACAAAGCAAATGCTCATGCCAGAGGAGGTCAAGGCATGGAAAGAAGTATCCTGTGAAACAAGATGACTGTGAGAGCCATGTGCTTCGGCCTGTGTGACCATGCACCACAGGCATTTTAGAAAAGCGTAGGCTAAATGTATCACAAATTACAAATTAAATGTGCAAAACTAAGAAATAATTCAGTTTTGATATTGCTCACTTTTCCTCTCTCTGTATAACTGTTCCTTGAAATTGGCCCCTTTCCTGCCGGGAAGTTTATATTCCTGTTCATGAGGTCATTTCTTCCTGTAATTTAGCATGTGAGCTTTCTGGTGTGTGTGCGTGTGCGTGTGTGTGTGAGTATGTGTGTGTGTGTGTAATGGGGCACTTCCTTCCTTTATGTCCATCTGGATAAGAGAAACAGCAGCATAAAGGAAACTGTCAAGTTATTGAGAAAAGGAAAAGAAAGTAAGAGAAAGAGCGAGCTGATGGACTCCGGGCGCCTGACAACAATTTAAGCAAGCAGTTTCCAATGAAGCCAGGCAACAGCTTCCACACAAGCTATGACTTTATCTGAACAGAGGAAGTAAAATCGACTTGTGATGAATCTTGCTGTTACAAGCAGACATGCGTTACCTTCTCCTCGGTGTCATCAGCTGTCTCTGCCTTCTTCGCACTGGTAAGTAAGTTCAAATTCTCATTATAAACATGGAAAATCTGCCCCATACATGTTGGTAAGACTACACCGTCTTGTCTTTGAATTCAGCTCTGTCGCAGTAGCTTGTGTAAGGTAACCCAGTCTTTGAGATCTTGTAAGGAAGTTGCTATTATGACTTATTGATATTTAACTTATCAATATTTGATGAGTCCGTTTTTGGACAGCCTCACACCCATTTAATGTGGTAATCACAATCATGTTCAAGTGTATTTGTATTCAGCATGTGGAATGTTTGTCAAACTGTATGTTCATTCCATTTTCTCATTAAAATCTTTTATTTTAGATTTAAAACTATTTGTTCAGGACATGTGGAAATTATTTGGGTCTGATCCTGAAGTCAGAAAACAACAATACAACCCAAATTATTTTATTTTGACAAAATGAAAGACATTCACACCATGAATTGATGCAGAAAAGGGTCAAATTGGTAAATTGTAGATTGGCCTAAAAATTCACCAGAATGCAGGAAATGAAGGGTGTGACACTTTTTTCTGGTAGAGGACCACAAAAACCCCTGTTACATATGTGTCCCCCCACAATGTTGAAACAAAACTTAGCCTTTAGGTGTATGTCTGTTGAAAAAAATGATCAGATGTACCAAATTGTGCAGTCTTGTGTGTGTGTGTCTGCGGTGGCTTAATCTGTCTACATCATGCTACTGTGTGACTGCAGAGTTGTTTACACAGTAATTTGAATGAAGTCTGATATACAGACATACAAACATATGATTACATTATGCTCTTCTGACCATTTGTTTGGGTTAGTTTGTTACATGACATGGAATAACTGCACAATTTTCTTAAGCCGTCAAATGTTCAGACTCTTAATGGTCACATACTGTCTTTGATGGTTCTCTAAAATGGCTTTGAGGAAACATTGTACATCAAGGCGATAACAGTCACTACCATTGCACAACGTGATGACATTTACACTTTACTTTTTTTAAATGAGCTAAAATAGACTTCCCTTTTTTTCAGGTCTCAGCGTGGAAGAATGCAGCCAGGATGTTCTGGCAACGCGTGAGACAATTGATGTCCCAGCAGGGGGCAGTCAGTCTCTGTCTTGTGTGGTCCAGCACTGTGGATACTCCTGGAAAGGTACCTGGATACGAACTAATTTGACAGGAGAAGAGTTAAGCGTAAGGCACCGTGTGACGAATATGATGCTCTCAGCCAATCAAACTAAATTAATTTTAGATTTACTGAGTGTCACCCAATTAGATGAAGGTTCCTATGGATGCAAAGTTAAATGGGCTAATGGTGAAACTCAGCAGGGACATCTGAAATATGTGAACGTCACTGCAGGTATATAGAATCATATACATTATCATTGTCATATGTTAGGGTGCACAGAAAAATCTAATTGTATTATTTGTGTTCTGCCCCAGCTGTCACCTCTCAGAGGACTGTATTGCACAGGGTTCTGGTCTGTGCCAGTGCTTCTCTTTGCCTTCCCATCATTCTGGGATTGGCTTATTGTCTGAGTTCAAAAGTCAAGCCTCAGACACTTCCCAGGACGCTATCCACTCATGCAGCTGTATACACAGATCAACCACACCCGGCTCCACAGCCTCCACCTCGATGCCCTGTACCACAGAAACATAGCAAATCCCCTCGCAAAGGTATCTCATTTTCATTCTGTAGCCTGTTACACTAATATAAAAAAGTTACCTGTTGCAGTGTCACAACAGTTCCTTTCACCAACTTGTCTTTTTTGTTTGTATTTTGCAGCTGCCCCCAAGTCCCGACAAAAGACTGAGGTGGGTGAACGTCCTGTTTCAAGACAGGATGACCTTTGCAGTGCCCTTGTTTCCCCTGACTAGCCTTGCATAGGTCTGCAGCCCATGCCTGAGCCCTCATATGCACTTCAGTAACTATTTTTCCTTCACAATGTTGCAGGTGGTGTATGCAGACATCTCCCAGGATGCACTGAGACAGGGAGCCACCAGAGCACCTGACCAGTCCACTGTGTACTCATCCCTCAGATTTTCCTGACTGCAGTTGAAAAATTGTCTGCTGAGGATCAGTTATGTGGGACTTGCTTGATCTTTGATGTCTTCGGGAGGCATTCGATAAAGACTTGTGTAACCTGGGAGCTTCTCATTGCAGGACTGCATCTGAGACATTCTGACTGTTGTTTGACTTCACCCACGTTTTGTATAAAACCATTAAAGCAGAGGACAAAATAAGACCCAAAATAATCCAGCAGAGTCATTTTTGCCTACCCATGTATGTGGACTGTCCTAAATACGCTCTGACGTGGAAGCAGTGACTGTTTTAAGTGCCAAAAATCCTCCATGTGCAGGTAGCATAATAGACAGCAAGTGAAGCAGATAATGAGGAGATATTGCAGCATGCATCAACCAGCTGAACCACCCTGAGGTGCTGCGGGGAGAAAAAACTCAGCTTTGTGGCGTCATTTCACAGATGTCACCACTTTTGTTGTTTGGAAATATGACTGCGGACAAGCAAAACACTCAGTGCAGTCCGACCAATTTAAAGGTATTGCAGTTTTTAAAATGTGAAGCAAATGCTGTATGATAATGTTTCTGATGTGTGTGAATAAAAACACTGTTGTGTTGACCTGTGAGCAAGTGATATTTTAAAAATGAGGAACCACATAAATGACACAAAATACAACATTTTATTTTAGAATAAATTCTCAATGGCACGTTACATAACCAAATATACATATACATGTTTAGACATCTTTTAAATTAATATATTTCCTTTAATCATTTTTACCTTAATAATTAGCATACTCTGCAGTTACATTTTTACATGACATCAATGCAAAAGAAATTATCAGTTTAATAAATTAAGCATATGAACAGAGGAAAGGCTGCAGGGCATTTAGGCGATACCTGCTACGAACTAAATGACATCTGAACGTCCCACTTTTGTGTGATTTCTGTCCCTGCTTCCCTTGCTCGAGGTAATCACCGGCCTACGCTAAGTGAGCACAGTGTGTATTAGTCACCGCTGTTAAGTTCCTTGAGGTACTTATCAAGGAACTTAACAGCGGCCTTGCAAGTTAAAATGCCACCTAAATTGCAAAGGAGATTTTTGTAATTTGGGTGAACTGACCCTTTAAAGCCTCTGGGATTTGAGTTTGATGTGACAGAACTTTACACACTATCGAGCCATCCAGGAATGGTTCACTCCACAGTAAGAGTACATTGACATTCTTCCAAAGACCTTCCAGTTTGGTTGTTTGGTCACAAACACATTTGTGTGTCTTTAAGCTTTTTCTTGATTAGCACACTTTCAGTTTGCCCTGCTAACTCTAATTTGTGCAGCTCCAGGCTAATGTTAGGGTATAGCTGAGGACTAGTGTAGACCTAGTGTAGTTGTGCTTGTAAGCAACTGGCTTTGCCATTTACGTCTAAGAGACTTCATATTAACAACTAACAAAGCGTAAAAAACAAACAAACAAACAAACAAACAAACAAATGAGGGCAAAAAAGCTCTAAGTTCACATTCAAAGTGTTTTTGCTAAAGTATGGTTCAAAGGTTCATTTAACCTGAAGCATCTTTTTTTTTCAAGTCATCATCATCAGCTCACATGCTGGGAAACTTCAAACCTTTCCTGTTCAAAAGTTCCATCGAACATAGACACAGATACACCGAGCTAGCAAGCTTCAATGGGAGGTATCAGAAGGTGAAATGTTTTCAGTAAGTGCAACGTCTATTTTCAGCAAATGTGGGTGTTGATCGGCTACCCACAGCTGTGCTGTAACCGGATCCAGAAGATTCCTGTCCTCTCACATAGTGAGAGAGACAGCAGACAGTCAGACAGACAGGCAGACAGAGAGAGAGAGAGAGGCAGAGAGAGATAGATCATCAGTGGTGAAAAGGGCTTTTGATAGATTGTAAGGCGCAGCTTTGGCTAAAATAAGCTTATGGCAAAATGTGTTGGCAGTGTCTCCTACTGTGCCCCCTATGAGCTAATTTCCACTAACCAAGCACTTGAGTTCAGGGATTTGAAGAGGTTACCCTTAAAGGTACAGAAATGCTGTCAGGTATTGACTGAATTTCAGCGATGTTGTGTTGATAGTGCAGCAGACACAACACAGCAGCTAGCGAGGTTACAAAAGCATCTCAAAAAAATCAAAGGTGTTCTCTAGAAAGGCATTTTTCTATGCAAAAAACAAGCTCAGATCCTGCGGTGAAGAATTGAGACTCCCAGTATTGTCACCTCTAAAGTGCTGCTACTGTAAGCCTACATTATGTTTCTGTGCTTGTGTGAGTTTGTCTGTGTCTCTGTGTACTTTTTTTTGGCAAAAGAGGAACTGTTGCCAGACGTACCATTCAAGGGCAAAGGCAAAAAGGGAACATCCTGATGTCTGACAATTCTTAAAGACGATTTTTCCACTGACCAGTCGACTACATAAAGAGTCTCATGGCACCATTCCTCTAGATCACCGTTTCTCTCTATTAAACTAGATGCTTGAGAAAAAGCTGAGGCAGAGACTGGCTCGGCCTCCACTCACAGTAGTACAGCCATGCGAGGACTTCCATGTAATGTGAACAATTAACAAAGATGCAGCAACTTGTAACATCGGCAAAGTACTGACTAATTTGTGTCGCCTAAGGCTGGTTAAAAAGAAAGCCAACATGTCAGCTGCTTCTCTGCACTATACACTCACAGTATTGTCAGTTAGTTTATAGTTTGTGGGGACTCTGGTGCAGTTGGTAATCTTGTCAGATTATCCTTGGCGTAGGGAAGTGGTTCTACAGTGATTTTGTGGTTGTTGTGATTTCTTTTTTTAATTTTTGCAGCTCCGTCGACCCGCGCGGTCCCTTTGTTGTGCAAGTCTGATATTTCCATTCCACAAGGCTACTCGGACTGAAAGAGAGGAAGGTGAACAGAGAGGCCAGTTAGAGGAGAATGTTCACTGAAAGCATGCATCTTTCACTCTGGGCCTATTACCCAACTCCAGCTCATCTGTTTCAATGACATTACAGTGATCCGGAGATAATGAGATGTCCGTAAGATGGACAGTGATTGTATCAAAAACTCACCAGGGGACATTTTCTCATTGCTTTCAGCCTACTGCACTAAATTATGTTATTGTACGTCTGCTTTAAAAAGTTCTAACTTTGAAACATTTGATATGTGACATATTTTCGGCACTTTGTAATAAGAAACGTCTCAAAAGACATTCATTAAAATTCGCTGACCAGGCAGGAATCTTGAGACTTACAGTTGTGGATGAGTGGCTCATTTTGTCAAAGCGGAATTTCAAGTTTGACCTCGGTGACGTCTTACTTTTCACGTCTGCTGAATATGGAAAGGAAACGGAAAAGACAGGAAGGAAATACTCATGAATCTGTCAAATCGAGGATGTCATCCTGTTAAACTGCTGACAGTGGGATGTGAATACTCTCTGTGAAATCCTAGGTTTACCTGTTGGACTGCGGCACATGATGACAGGCGTACCTGATCCCTGGCTGTCGACACTGAGGGAAGGACTGAAGGCAGAGGAGGATGCTATACAAGGATGGGTGGCCTAGTGGACGGAAAGTACAAAGACATTTAACATGGAGAAAGAGATGGAAGATGTAAGACGCTCAGTGAATCCAGGAAGTGATGTTTTCCTGAAGCTGACTTAAACCTTCCTGTCAGCAAAGTTAGAGGCACTTAATGTTCAGCACTTGAAAATATGCTTTGCAGGGATGAGCCAACAGAATGTGGCTTTCTTTTTGTGATCATTTGCAAAATATGGGTTAAAATTTAAGCTGGCAGAAATCTCCAAGAAGTAGATTTTATTTATAAAGCACCTTTCAAAACAAGAGTTACAAGGTGCGTAATAAGACAGAGAGGCTGAAAATAAAAGACATTAGAGCTGCACAAGAGGCAAAAACACATGATTAAAAAGTGCTAATGAAACAAATGAATTTTTAATAGCTTCTTAAAAATTCATTGACTCAGCGATTTTTATATCTAAGGGAACACAGTTCCAAAGAGTGAGAGCTACAGCTGCAAAGCCAGTAGCCAGTTAGCCTCGATAAGCATAGGACCGTCAAAATAGTAGATGTAGCTGACGTGACATCACCCTTTGGTTTTGAAGCCTTGAGTTCGGCATTGTTGCTGTCACCATTTTGTTTTTTTGGGGCCAGAAGTGACCATGTGTGGGTGAGGCTGGCGCTATGGAGGAGTGAGTGGTGGATCTGACTGAAAAGCCAAGGACACTATTGGCAGACAACCTGTTACTCAAAGTAGTCCACCCTCATTATGCATAACATTATGCCTTAATAAAATCTAACTGACTTTTATAAAAATTCACCCCCTCATACAGTTGTCATGAAGGGGGAGAAGATAGCGATAGAAACCAGGCTGTAAACATGTTTATTACTGCTGTAAAGTCGGGCTTTTAACATAGGGGGTCAGTGAGGATTTACTTGCTTCTTGAGGCAGCTTCAAGTGGCCATTCAAAGAACTGCAGTGTTGGCACTTCTATGTTGGCTTCATTTTTAAGCCCAAGAGGCTGCTGCTAGATAACCACTGGTAACATGGGATAACAGCTGGCCTGGCTCTGTCCAAAGGTAACAAAAATGCCCCTGTCAGCATCTCCAAAGTTCACTAATTAACACGTTCAAAATAAAACTGCAGTGCAAAAATGAAAGCTGTTTTTTGGGTGATATGGGCTGGACTGTCTTATAGGTTCCCCAGGTCTTTTCCCTGCAATAGTCCGGACAGCTTGTTTACACATGGGTTTCTGTATGGATTAACAACAAGACATAACATATTAATTTGTGAGCTTTAGAGGTGCTCTGGAGCGGATTTTGTTGCCCTCAGACAGAGCCAGCCTCGTTGTTTTTTTTGTGTTAAGCTAAGTTTAACAGCTCCCTCATATTTACTGAACTCTCAGCAAAAAAAGTGACTAAGCGAATCTCAGAATTTCAGGTTGAACGATTCATTTAAACTCATCCAGATTTAATGAGGTCTTTTCAGGGAAAGCAAGATTTTATTTATTTTCCCCTTATGGTGATCATTGGTGTATTTTACTGCTACACAGCTCATTATTTTCTCTGGCCTTCAATAATCTGAATTTTAACAGCACACTGTGCATCTGTGCACTCCAGTTAAATGGTGAGAGTAGGAATGATTTGACAGCATTTCACACATGGACTAAAACAACACTGACAAGCTGTGTCATCTGATGCACAGAAAGTGAGAGGAGCTGTAATCATTTATAATCAATGTGGTAATGTTCAGCTCTCCCTGTTTGACAGTTCCTGGTAATGACAGACTGTTTCACCCATGAAAGCTTCGTCGGCACCAACAGCCTCACTCTACTTTAAGAATGTGTTTCCAGTTCTGCTTTCTCTCTATTCTCTCCTCTTGTGAAGGCAAGATTACATTGTTCAGACAAACTCTGAGTGTATCACTCACTGTCTCCAGTTCTTCCAGAGCTTCTGTTTCTCCCGTGGTGCTGCTGAAGCTGCTGGTGCTGGATGAGGAACGAGAGATGTTCGGTCTACCACTGCTGCACTCTTTCAGCTTGATGAAGGGCCTGTTGAGGAAAACAGAGATGAAGATAAACTGAAAATGAGACAAAAGCAGACCACTTAGTGAA